TACTAAGTACTGTCGTCTGTTCGATAGCTATCTCACCGAGTGAACACTGCGCAAGTATCCGGTCTGTCAACGGCTCTTTTTCATCTACTTCTCGGCACCTACGATGGAAATTTACACCTACGTGTTAGAATGTCACGGAAGTGAAGTTTAACGTCTTATTGGTGGGAGGCAATTGCCTCCACCAATCAGGCGTCGATACGTCACTTCCGGGACTTTTTAAAAATGTACATGTTAATGCCGAACCCGCGCCTCCTGGTTTTCACCAAGGAAGTTTCATTGGTCCTTTAGTGTTTCTAATGTTTGACAATGGTCTCGCTTCATTTATTAAGCACACGCATTTGTTGTTATTTGCTTATGGCATTAAGTTGTTTGCGGTGGCTAAAGTGGTTGAAGATTGTGAATATCTTCGACGTGATATATATTCCATTTCGGCAACGTGTCTTTCAAATGGCCTATTCTTAGATCAGTCAAAGAAGAAATTTATGCGGTTTACTTTTTTTTTTTTTAGAAAGTGTGAAATTCTGAATTTTTTTATATACATTAGATTCCACCGATAGTATCGTGTAGAAGTCATCCTTGATCTGAAAATGTTTATGGATACTCCGATTAATATCAACGACCATTTAACTACAATTACGAATTCTGATAACCATTGCGCGAATAAGACGGAATTTTTCTAAACCGGTTAGTATCTTTTATTAACGTTTGTTTTCTTCACTGATGCGTATTCGTGTCGAATGTGCCAGACCTGTATGAAACTGCTTTGGAGTGACCAATTCAGGTGCAATTGAGCGTGATTAAAGTAAATTCATGTGTGCATTGTTTGATCGTCAGTTTTAACCACTACAGGTACGAAAGGATTCGTGAAATCGTAAAGTTTGTCATGTTGCACGACAGGAGAATGATCCGTGGATTGATGTTTTTGTTTAAACTCGTATTTGATATAATTGATGGCGCTACTAAGTCACGTCTACGTCAAGAAGACTTCGTTCTTTGTTCTACCCTTCTGATTTATATCACACAGTACCCATGACACTCCTCTAATTGCCGTCTTATGATTAAGAACAAATTTGCGGAAATGTTAGCCGAGATATTTTTTATAAAGAGCGTAAATTTAAGAAGTGTGTTCTTAATATTGTTTTTTTTTTTCTAACCTTCCATTATTTTTAATTTGTCCCAAAAATTACATTACTATCTGACATTGATACGTGCATCACAAGGAAGCCTCGAAATGTTTGTGGGCCACTCAATATAAATGTAAATATTATATATATGTTTTCATTTATTTTAAATTAAGATCTTTTCCATCGTGGGTTTGAAACATTGTTGTAGGCGTTAGCAAAAAAAGTACGGAGAGACGTACTTGTTACTTACAAATAAAAGTAACACGTTACTGTTATCGATAAAAATTAACGAACGTTACTTTTGCCTCAATTTTTAATTATGAATCAACACGTTTTACTGCTGTGATGGTACAAGCATTCAGAAGCGCCGTGTTTCAAGAAAATTGATGTTCATGCAGGAACTGAACATAACTACTTTTATATTTTTTACGGCTTTACCTAAAACCTCACGTGAAAAGACGCAAGAAAAAGAAAAAAATAAACTAAAAAATTTACGTAGCTTGGCGTTTAAGAGCAAGAAAAAATTTAAGCGTAATCTTTTTAAGTCTTGGGAACAAAAAGTAGTAACGTAACCACGTTACCCGCTACTTTAAATAAGTAATTTAAGTACCGTTATCCGTTACTGTTTCAAAAAAAGTAACGAGTGCATTACTACGTTACCGATAAAAGTAACGCGTTGCCTATAACGGCGTTACTTGTAACGCGTTACCGCCAACACTGGTTTGAAATGATTCCGGTGATGGTATGAGATAGCATTCATCACAGATTAATGTGCGCAGACTCCAATCTCGAAACTCTTGCTAACATTTCAGGCTATTGCCATGCGTCAATCAAAAGCGTTCAAAGGCCACCCAATAAATGACGGCAGCGTGCCAATGTGTTTTTCTGGTGTTCTTTTGTCGACACCACAGTGGAAGATAATGTCTGCGCATGAACATCATCGTTGGCGGATGCTCCGATAAGTGACGACAGATACGCTGAAACTTGGCGAGAGTCACATCAAAGTGGCACACCCGTCCCCGTATTGGCGACGTGCATGTCAGAATCATGTTCGTTACGAGACGCTACGAGACGTGATGGCGCTGATGCGAGGTACACGGAGGTGCGTGGCAGCAGGCCGCTCGAGTGGCAGGCCACGAACACAGCAGGACGCTCGCCGCTCGAGGTCGAAATCGCCGGCAGGACCGTGAATGCCGCGCAGCGATTTCCCCGTCCGGCCAATCTACACTTTGTGCCACCTCTTTCACACCAAGGTGCGCATGGGTGACTGACGACACAGTACGTCATATTGAATGATTAAACAGTAGGCATTTTTTGTTCTTAATTGCTTCCCTAATCAAGTTAGGTTAATAACTTGTGAACAAGCTTGTACTGAATTAGAGTCATCGTATACCGGTTGATCTTGAAAGTCGCCGAGTGAGCATAGGCTGACCGTGTGCACCGTACCAGAAGGAGGTGCCAAAGAAAAAAAAAAGCGTAGATTGTCCGACAGGCAAGCATTTGCCATACAGCACTCTCGTTGAGTCGCTATTACGGCCTCGAGCCGGCGGCCTCCTATGCTCGGGCTGTACCATTGTACGCCACGTCACGAAACATTTTTTAGGCTTCCGCCGGGGCAGCACTTCTACGGGATAAGACACGATTCGCGCGTGTTCCGTGGAAGCTCGTTGAGCACTGAACGCACCTGTCTCTACTAGCAATCACCATGGCGCATGTCAAAAGTAGAATGACCCATTCGCTAATGACTGTCTCTCCCTCACACTAGGAAATCCAGGATTTCCATATGAGTTCACTCTCGCGCTGTGCCGCGTGAAGCAACGTGACACGGGTGGGGCAACGTGCATATTTATTTGCAGCTTGCGAAAACATCTCCGAAGTGTGCAATACGCCTCGTTTAGGTTGTCGTCTGCTTAAACTTTATGTTTTACTTTCCACACCAGCCCCCTCACCAGTTTCGAACCCAACTTATTTTTAGCCGCTGTTTGTACTGCAAAGAAGTCTCGACCAGGTTTCGCACTTTGAGACTATTTAAAAGCCGACCGAGCTTCTAGGCGGTTATTTTTAGTGTTATGTTTTCTGAAGGAATTGGAAGAGCCTTCGGCGGTTGTTTTGACTGCTTTTTCTAAGGTAAATGTTTGTTTACGAAAGTTCAAATACATATGCTTAAGTACCACCGCAATGCAAAAGCCTTTTTTTTTTTTTGTGGAGGTTTCAAACTACACGAGATTTAAAAAGCGAAATAACTCGAGAGGACGTCGAATGGTGCCGTTCTAAGACTTGTACATCCACAGCGGTGTCAGTCGTTAATCACGAAACCTTGAATACCAAGCGGAAACCTTTAGCGTCGAAGAGTTTTCCGGGGATTAACTGTCGCATCATGGCGTAATGACGAAAGAATGGCCCTCACTCACGTTGTTTCACAAAAAAAGCCGTGGTAGGTTGTTGACGTCGCGTATACGATCATCTAGTCAGCTAAAATTAGGTGCCTCACTAGCAATAAAATAACATTTCGCTACCCAACTTTTTTTCATTGAAAAGAATACAAAGAAAAACGTAGGTTCACAAGTAATCTCCAGCTTTTATTCCTTTCTTTTGGTAACAACAAGCTTGTGTCAGTTTGAGGCGTTACAGAACAAGAATAAACTAGTTGACATCCAACCTTATTATTAGAATCACGGAAACGTTAAGTAAGGTTCCCCATGTGATGCAATATCACGTGAAGTCCCCGCGTTAAGTGGCATCGCGTCAAGTCGCTGAAGCCCCAACGTGACACCCTTGCTTCTGAAAACCTGACGTCACGTGACTTGGTTACGAGGTTATATGTTTGGCTTTACTGCGTCCCGTGGTTTCTCGTCGCGGCACACACACCACTACGTGAACCCTTGACGTCACATCACCGACGTGGTTACGTGATTGGCGTCATGGCGGCACATCCGCGTCACTGATACTACAACATAACACTGTGACTTCACATGACCTGAGGCCACGTGACGTAGTTACGTGGTTAGTGTCACCTAGTGTGATCATTTGGTTGGTTTCACGTTACGACATCGGGGACGTGATCGTGGAGTTGGTGTCACGCGACAACGTCATACAGATGATCGACGTCGCGTTACCACCGTCTGCTGAATTTGGCGAGAAAACATTGCTTAGTCAAGCTAAACGCGCGTTTCAGACGTCCGTCGTGCTACCCTTCCCTTGCCACATGAGCCCTCCTCCTCCCCAGATTTCAACCTATGAGCGGGGGCTCTCAAGCCGCGACAAAGCGACGCATGCGGTCTGACAGTTAGGTGGCCCCACAAGTGCTATAGCTTTTAATGAAATGACAGTATAAATATGCATCCCGCCAGGTGCCTACATACTTGCCCTATACCTGAAAGTGATGACTGGCTTAGTGGTGGCAAGCAATTTATTTACGTCGTACGACTAAGTAAAGAGCAGATCAAGATCATACACCAGATATATTATGCTCATGGAATCTCTTGCTTTCTTTTCAGGGCTACTTTTGACCTGCAGATAAAGTCCTCAGTGGCAAGGGAACTAGGATGGCAGACAATCATCATCAGCTCTTCTCGCCGTCAACCGAGCAAGGCAGTGGGTCTGCTGCATTGACATCGCAGTTCCAGACTCAAAGCCCAATGCAAGAAGAGATCCCGACAACCCCGATGGCCTTAATGATCCACGGCGCGCACACCACACTCTCTACATTGTGTAACGGCAGTATTCCCTGCGAGAAAAACACATCAGGAGCGCCGTCTCTCAACAGCGAAGACGACTACACTGAGTACTATCAGGGGAACACAGCCCTCGAAGAAGTCCTCGCCATTGTAGTCCCTGTCCTCTTCGGAGCCATCGCAATTGTTGGATTCTTTGGGAATGCTCTGGTGGTCTTGGTGGTCCTCTGCAACCCACAAATGCGATCTACAACCAACATCCTCATCATCAACCTGGCAATGGCGGACCTACTCTTTATAGTATTCTGCGTTCCCTTCACCGGATGGGACTACACCCTCGACTACTGGCCGTTCGGCGACGTGTGGTGCCGAATAGTGCAGTACCTAGTCATCGTGTGTGCTTACGCCAGTATCTACACCCTAGTACTCATGTCCTTCGACCGGTTTCTAGCTGTCGTTCATCCGATAACGTCGATGTCCATCAGGACAGAACGCAATGCCTACTTTGCCATTTTCCTAGCATGGGTCATGATCCTGCTGGCTTGCATCCCTGCGCTATTCTCCCACGGGATGGTCATAGTCGACGACAACTTTGCCTCCTGCACGTTCCTGGCACACAAGGGCTACAGCATAGTGGCCTTCCAAATCTGCTTCTTTATGTCATCTTTCGTGGTGCCCCTTGCCCTGGTCTTTATTTTGTACGTCTTGATGCTGAAGAGGCTATGGTTCGGTGTGACACCAGGAGGAAGGGTCAGCGCGGAGAGTGTCCGATCCAAAAGGAGGGTGACGCGACTGGTCGTGGTTGTTGTGGTGGTGTTCGCCGTGTGTTGGTGCCCTGTCCAGATTGTGCTGGTCCTCAAGAGCGTGAACCTATACGGCCAGCCGATGAACCCTCCGAGGATAGTGATACAGATCGCGTCCCAAATCCTGGCGTACACCAACTCATGTGTCAATCCGTTTCTGTACGCATTTCTGTCTGAGAACTTTAGGAAGAGCTTTAGAAAGATTATCTTCTGCTGTCCAAGGAGCGTGACGAGTTCCGGGTCAACGAGGACTAGGATCGGCGATGAGAACGAGCGTACGGAGCGGGAAACAACGGCCACCTGCATCACCAGGGCGTCCAAGATATCGAACGACATTATGTAATGTTCCCATTATTGTTTGCTTTTCGAGAAACGTAGGGTGTGTTCAAATCGGAAAAAGAAAAAAAAAGTGGGACATCTTGTAGTGAATATTTGTGACCATGGTTCTCATCGCCAAAAACAAGATGAGATTCGCCGTCAGGTGGCGAGATTACAATCGGGCTAAGACGGTTCTTAAAGCCACCCTAATATTATGTGGTTGTTGCCTGCAGCCACCCACCGATTTTTCGTTTTGTTTAAGAACGCCATCGCTCTTCAAGATGCGCAACTAACAGATGATCCAAACTCTTTCGTGAATTGTGTTTTCAATGAAAAAAGTCGTGCGTGAAGCGTACCTTTTCTTCCGGGATAAGAAGATAATAAAATGCCTAGTGGTGAAAGTGGGCAAAATTATGTCGGGGCTTACCCTAACACATTCCTCGCTATTCACTCCAAATATCTTTCTCCTAATACCTCAAACGTGTGGCCCATAATGTGGTTAGCTCAAACCACTAAGTAAAAACAAAAGAAACAAAATCACATATGTAGGTTACGTTCTTAAGTTGCGCAGAACAACCGACCCCGTCTGAGCAGTTTTTTTTTTTATTTGCCTCATTTTGAATTTAATGTTTTTTATCAGACCGTCGCTGGAAGATGCAATCAAGTAATTGAATTGGAAAGCATCTTTTCTTAAAATACGGTGCCTCATTAAACTCCGCAAAATTGTTTTGACATAAAGTATATAATGTGAGAGAGCTCGCTCTCATTAATGTTCTTTGGAGGCGCACGAGGAGTCACGAGAATCTATCTCTTTAAAGGAAACGCGTTTTTGAAAGATAATTGATAAAGGGATAAGACGCATATCATATATAGACACTGCTCAGTTGTTTATGAAACAAACATATCCTCATTTTTCTGTTTAAGCCTTGCTTTCGCTGTCTGTCATTTTTTCGCGCATGCCAACGACAGGCCTAAAATGGCATAATCATATCAGACAAAGAAACAGCAAACATTACTCAGGAACATGGTAATTGCCCTTGATAGCAATATTTTTTTTTTTTTTTGCAATTGAGCATTATTTACTGACAACAAAATAGCTTGCAAGTTGACAAGCGAATATGCTGGCGTACCAAGTCGGGTGAAGGAAACATTTGTTTTATAATATTGAAGGTTGATATGCCTAGTTGGACTTAAACATAAACGCCTAAAAGCTATGTCTACGCATAAATGAAATGTTTAGATTAGTTTTCGCAAAAGGGCCCATTAAAATTGTCGAGGTTGCCATTAGAATATTTACAAAACTAGAGGAAGCGTAAAAGACAAAACTTCGTCGGAACTGGATTATCATTCAAAAGAAAAATATTTTGTATAGCCACAAGTTACTCAGGCAGAGAAAATCAGCAGTATTTTGCATTTTATTTTAATTTAAATTTTACTCATGGAGTTTTAATGTAGATATTGCAATTCGGACGTTTTACTCCACGAAGACAACTTCCTGAATAAAACTTGCGCTTCGCGATCTTCACAAACACCGCCAAACTTGCGCCATCCCGCTAGACTTGTGTCGCAGAATGGTGCTTTTTTTTTTTTTAGAACTTGCTTTAAAGCAAGTTGCCAACAAGAAAAAAAAAAACAAAAAAAAACAGAGCGTCCTGATACTTTATAGCTGTGCCACCACCATGTTACATGTTCTTCGAAAGGTTCCACGGCATAATGTGGTGTCTTGTAAACATTAAAACCGATCGTGACGATTTTTATGTTTTCTCGACATAGAGATAATGCCTGGGCCTTCGAACGCACTCCTACGTTTCTCGAAGCCGTAGTGGTCATCCTTTACCCACCACATTTGTAATAGCCTACTTTTATGTAAACACGTGTGCCTGTGTGCCTGTCAGGCAGCTTGTGCAGCTGAAGTGATACCACTAGAACCACAAAATAAGCCACGCTTCAGAGTAATGACACTTCATTCATCGATGAATGGATGGTAACGGCTCTGCCATTCATAACGGGCGATAAGCTATGTTTCAAAGTAACGGTCCTTCAGCCATCTTGTTGCTTAAAGATATTGTAGCCGGTTATCTGATGCTCGAATTAAAATCGCAGGAAACTTCCTTTTCACCCGTCTGACATGTTAAAACAACCCGCTACAGTGCAATACAATATCTCCGGAGCTCCCCGATACCGCATCTAGAGCTCAAAAAGTCCCGTTTTTAAATCAACAGGATTGCCAATGGAGCGTTTTCAAAAATTCATCAAGCAACATTGGAGGTCGCCATTCCATGGACACGAAGTGCGTGATTGGAGCCGAGTCTTTGCCCAATGCTGACGTCACCCTCGTGTCCAATACATGCTCAGAATATGAGATCAAGCAATGGCGGACAGGCGTTGGCGTGCACCTTTGAAAGGGGTCTCTTGCGCACGCTCAGAACCAAGTGCCAATATGTTGGCGCCCAAAAGTAAATAGTCGATCAGAGTGCCGATGCTCTAAGCGTGCCTTTTTATTGGCTCTAGATGCAGCAAACTGCTTAAATCGTACCCGTCGTCTTGTTTATCGCGCTCCACGTGACCTGCTGTTTAAAGCTCCGGTATCAGGCGGAGCTAAGGTCTTGAACTTTGAAAGTCCCTCAAAGCGAAGCTGGGTTTCTTCACACTCGTGTAATCATAGCGATTCTACCGTTTTCGGGCCACTCACCCAACCTGCGTTCTCTCCCGTGTTGCACGCCGGAGAGACGCCAACCTTATCATTGTCAATCCTTTGTCAATTCTTTGTTTGTCAATACTTTGTCAAACCTAGGGGGGCTAACTTGGGCCTAACACGGTTTTGCTCCAAGGCGTTTTTTAGCGCCCGAGTACTTTGCTATTTTAGTTTGAATTACTTTTCTGTGACTCGTCACATAATTGCCAAAGTGCCAGATTTGAGGCAATGATACCACGCATGAAACGAAGAACTAGCAGAAAAACCTATAACTGACACTTGCTTGGCAATTTCGGCCTAAAGTTTCCGTATGAGAAACTAACAGCTGGAAGTGAAGCCTAACTCTCTTGCACTTGTTTGTCAGTTAAGGCCCAAAGACGTCAGATGGTTGTCGAACTACCAGCAGTGAAGCGTAACTTTAGCACATGTTTGACGAATGAGACTCAGATACTCAGGACAACATACTCAGACTCTAGCCAAAGAAGGTAACTTTTGGTTCTGCATTGGCTTCTTCAGACTTTGTATGGCCTCAAATACTCAAGCAAACAACAAATTTGGCCAAAAAATTCTGCTACCTGGGCTCTTCTGAGTGATATCAAGGTGCAGGCATGGTGTCCCTACCGGTGCCCCACGTGTGCAAGCACGTGCAGAATGTGCTTGAAGAAACTTCGACAGGCTTGCCATTGCGCGCGCTTCCTCACGCGAGCAGGAACATGGTGGCGGCCAGATGCCTTGTTTGCAATCGTCTATAGACGATTGCAGCTGGGCGACTGACCGCCGCCATGTCTCTGCTCGAGCAGGCACGCCCGTGCGATTACGAGCTTGCCAAAGCTACGTTCACCCGCGCGTTGCACGCGCTTGAAAGCATGGGGCACCACTTGTGGCGCCATGCTTGTAATTGTCTATAGGCGTGGTTGTGGAACCACTGATCCATCTCGTATGCTTGATAGGGCGAAGAATATCTGTCTTGAAAATAAACATAAAAAAAAAAACAAATAATCTGATCGTTTCTTAGGACGCGGATGTCGGAGCGTCAGGATATTGATAATTATAGGTTACATGACTTCATGTAGTCAAGGCGCTGATTGTTCGGTGAGATTAAAGCCCCTTGTTGTTATATAAGAGTAGCGCAAGGTGCGTCGGTGCAAAAGGCACGTGCAACGGGCAGTCCTTGGGAAGATCATGTTGGCACAGCGCAGCACTGAGTTAGACTGCAGTCGCCATGTTCTTCCCAGAAGTGGCGCGCATCACGCGTCTCGAGCATTTCCGCGACAATGACTGGCGCCACTTTTCCCAAGATAGAGGGGCTTTAGGTGGCATAAATATAAAGCACCAATTGGCCAATCACACTGCCAGACTTCAGCATGAAATTGCGGTGTCTCGGATGCCGATCACGAAGGCGAGACACCACCATAATTGCAGTTATGGTTGTTTCCGCCCCCCCCTCCCCCCCCCCCCCCTCCCTCCGCCTCGTGCTACGCTCGCACATACCCGCAGCGGGGTTGCTGCGCGTGCGGAGCCAACCCCTTTTTTTAACCTTTGCCTCTTGATCCGTTTTGTTCCCTGTTACGTTTTATTGACCTTTGCCTCTTGATGTATATTTCTTTCCCCCAATACCTGCAAAAATCCCAGTAGGCTTGGCAGTATTTTGAAATAAAATAAATAAATAAAAATAAAAAAATAAAAACTACCGTTTTTACGTTGCCTGCTGTAAGCGGTGGCGTAACGAAATTGGCTCTTGAGATCGGTTCATAGGCCGATGCGCTGGGTCGGCATTTCTAACATATCTTAAAAATTGGAACATGATCTTGCGTGTTATTCTTTAAGGATATGCAGATCTTTAGATAAAATCTACTTATTAATGCGTAAGCATTAGTGCCTGCATGACAGCGAAAAACGGACGCCGTCCGTCTGCTGAGAAAACAGTGAAAAGGAAAGCGCGCCGAATAGAGAGGGGGAGGCTAGTGAAGGGCGAAGGCGAGAAGGAGGTGACGTCATGAGGCGGAAGCCAATGACCGCACGGGAAACCGGTGAACAGCGAAAACAGCGTGAGGGAGCAGATGCCGCTGCTAAGCGTGCAAGGCGGGCGAAGGAGAGAGGCGGGCGCAAGCAGCGCCTAGCTCGGCAGGCCGAAATGTGGCACAAGAAGCGGCAAGCTGAAGCGGGTCTGCGTACGACAAAGGCTGAAGCGAAGTGGACTCGGTGAGTCCGCTTCGCCGGAAAAAAAGTAATATAAGATCCTATGGGAGATCCTTCATGCGTTAGCATATGACTCTCGGAAAACGTCACAAGCGCCCCCTTTTGGGGAAACGCAAACGCTGACCCCGTAA